CTGGCAAGGTGCTACCCTCGGGTTTCCCTAGGGGCTGGGGTTAGTGGCTTCAGGGTTGGCAGGGAGAGGCTGGGCAGCTGTCGGTCATGGTGAGAACAACCGGGAAGGGTCCGTGGGCCCCAGGAGCATGGCAACAGAGCCCTGAAGGTAGCCATCGCGCATCAGGAGCCCCAGTGCCAGGCTGCGCACCTGACAGGTGTCTAATGCAAGTCTGCTGGTCATTCTCCACCGCAAAACAGGGGGAAAGAAAGCAGAGATGAACAAGCAGCAGCGGCTTACTTGCCTTCAGAGCCCCACGGGCATCTGCGAAGGACTCGAAACACAGGATTCTGCCGTGCAGGGCGCGTGACTCAGACACCAATTCCCTCCAAGGACCGGTCAGGATGGCAGCAGCTTCCAATGTTAACCCCCCCACCCCCCAGGCCTGGGGTGGCCCAGGTGAAGCCAGAGGAACGAAAGAGGGTGTGTGCCAACACTGAGCCGGTTTGGCCCAGCTGCAAACCAGGGCTGGGCCACCTTCCTGTGTCCCAGCCAGAACTATGACAAAGCCCATTGTTCTGAGATCCACTAAGGTGCGCCTGCCGATACTGGCCGCTTTGCCAGCTGCACGATCAGAGGCCGTAATGGCCACAATTAACTAAGGGCTCACCAGGTGCCAGGCAGGTTACACACCTCAACATATATCGCCCGAGGAGGCAGGAGAGCCCAACGAGACGGCCAAGTCGGTCATCCCAGGCTATCCGTTCACCGGGAGCCCTGTGAGTGCCAGCTGTATGCCACGCTCCGGGGCCGGACACTGGGGGTGCGATGAGAAGAAGACACGGCCCCTGTCCTCAGCCCCTTCCTCAGTTGGTGGGAGAAAACAGACAAATAGTCCCGTACACACAAAGTGAGACATACCATGATGAGGGCATTAACCTAGGCCCAGCTTCATGACAACTAGGTGACTGCGAACGAAGGCCAGCTGTTACTAGTTTCCACACATTGTTTAAGTGTCCTAATCCCCCTCATCTGTAATACTGGGATGAAGAGGGGCGCCTGGGTGGCTCAGTTGGTTAAGCGGCCGACTTCGGCTCAGGTCATGATCTCGCGGTCCGTGAGTTCGAGCCCTGCGTCGGGCTCTGTGCTGACAGCTCGGAGCCCGGAGCCTGTTTCAGATTCTGTGTCTCCCTCTCTCTGACCCTCCCCTGTTCATGTTCTGTCTCTCTCTGTCTCAAAAATAAATAAATGTTAAAAAAAAAATTAAAAAAAAAAAACTGGGATGAAGAGTACCTATAGCAAAGGGTTCTGTGAGGGCTAAACGTGACAATCTACACGAAGCGCTTACCTTGGGATAAATAAAAATAAATGAGATAAAATACGACCATCGCTTTTTTAGTTGACCACCAAGTAGATTATATACGCAGATTTAAAGTATGACATCTCAATGTATTTCTAACTTTGTCCCACATACGTACATTTTCAAAACACTCAACTCACAAGTTCAGGGTCTCCAACCTGCACCTGATTCGTTACTGGAGGGTCACTAGGGTGGCCGTATAATTTAGTGCCTAGACCAGGACGCCTCTGGGGGTGGAAAATAAAGGAACAGTGAGCGATTCTGAGCAGCCTGGAGGTGCTGGCCACTCTGTCCACTGCCCACAGGCCAATTTCAGAGGCAAGGCCAGCAGCCATCACTAGGCATCCTTCCTCCGGCTCTGTTGGGAGCTGCCATGTTTGAGAGCTCGCCCAACAAAACTCCAGCCTGGATGACAGGCAGCATTTGTGTCACCCCACCCCGCAGTCAGGAAAGTCCACGGACAGGGACACCCCCCCACCACACATACACACACACACACACACACACACACACACACGTCTTCCCAGAACCTCAGGGAAGGAGTCAGACTCTGGTCCTGGCACCTGTCCTCACCCCTCACGTGTGGCCTCCTAGAAAGATGTCAGTCAGCAGCCCTTACCTCAGGTGTCCCAGGCTGTAGAACCGGGACTCGCCGTCGGTGGAGCGGACCACCTGCAGCGTGAACATGGGCTGCAGCTGCCTCAGCTCCAGCAGGACGATGGCCAGGTAGTGGATGAAGAGGAGGGCGTCCACGAGGGACACCGCGTACTGCACGATACCCTGGTAGTTGCGGTCCCGAGAGTCCAAAATGCGGACCCCATAAAACAGCCAATAGGAAACCACAAAAAAAAAGATGAGGACCAACAGAAGGGCACGGAACACGAAGACGCGCGGCACGTCAGCTCTCTGCTTGCGGAAAAAGAGCGCCCAGGTCCCGATGAGCAGGATGAGGAGTTTGAACGCCACGGAAATGAAGAGTCCCTCACAAATTGTGCCACAAGGCTCCAGCTCGTCCCTCCACAGGATGGGGGGTAACAGGATGAAGGCAATGGGGGTGAGGAACACCAGCAGTCCAAGGACCGAGGCCACGGTGAGGCCCAGGTAGCGCCTGCAATCCAGCCTCACGCTGTCTTCCATATCCTTGCTGATCCTGGCAATGTCCTCCTGTGATATGCTGTGCTCTGAGGTGCCTGTGATGGCCGTGGTGGTCTCTCCCCAGTTGTCATCCTGACGGGGAACACAAACAGGGAACGTGAAGAGCCACAGGCGGCAGGTCACTGGTAAAAGCCACGAAGCAAGCATTTGGACACGCGGCGCCCACGGAGGGCCCTCCTCTCTGAACCAGCCCACACCCACGGGCATCCCAGAAAACGGAGGCTTAAGTCTTCAAATACAGGAAGTTTTGACCTGAACGGTTTTCACTGGCATTTTTCCAAGGGGGTCATATACTGACCTTTCCAAACAGAAAACGCAGTCTACCCTTTTGGTGTGTTTGTTGGGGGATTCATTCTTATCATGTTGATTATCATCCCCCGTGCTGGAATCTCCGGAGAGGCTTTTTGGCCCAATAAGCAATCCCGCCGTGAGACTGACACGTGAGGGCTCACCCGTAACATAAGAAAACTCTGTGTTCTCACCTCAGTTCATGGCTGGGTTACGAAGGCCGACAAAGTCCAACTTCCGGAAGTGAGGTATTATAATACCCCCCAGCAGCTCTAAAGAGCCAGCGACCTTCACTGCTATGTACAAATCACAGCTAACCTGTAACTATTTTTTTTTTTTTCTTCAAGAAGTATCAGTGTCAAGCACTCCGTGACAATGTTTCTCAGCAAGCAACCTAAGCAAATTCAAGTACGGATGGCCAGGACAACTCACAACTTCCTCCCTACGCCTGGGTGGCTCAGTCGGTTAAGTATCCGACTTCAGCTCAGGTCATGATCTCATGGTTCGTGAGTTCAAGCCCCACATCGGGCTCTGTGCTGACAGCTCAGAGCCTGGAGCCTGCTTCAGATTCTGCATCTCCTTCTCTCTCTGCCCCTCCCCTGCTCACACTCTGTCTCTGTCACTCAAAAATAAATAAACATTGAAAAAAAAATTTAAAAAAAAACAACAACAAAAAACTTCCTCCCTAAACACACATTCTCACTGACACACGGAATACAGACTGCTACAGAACTACCAGACTATTGCAGTGTCTCTGACTTTTGTGCTTTCCTCTCTCTTTTTAAAGTCTGAGGTAGCTTCCATTTGGAGCAAGCAGTCTCTTCCTTTACCAAGATCCACTGGTTAAGATTTTCAAACAATTCTGCTATTTCGCTGGCAAGCAAACCTGACTTCACTACAAAGGCAATGAAAAGCCACAGGGGCTCCAAAGAGGTTTTTGCCTCAGAGATTTGTGTACATGATTTAACTTGGAGAAAACAGTCTGAGGTAGGGACAAGCTGGGTGAAATTCATGCGTAAGACACCAACTTTGAAAAATCTAGTTTAAGTTGACAGCTGAATCAGCAAGAATTGGGATCTCATAACTGAACAAGAACCTTAGATCTAGAAATGATCAGAATCACGATCTATGAACAGATAGGCTATGACAAGGACTGGTGGGCGGTGGCAATGGTCTTGACCGATGAACAAACAGGTCTTCGACTTGGAAGGTTACAAGTATCCCATACCACAAACTCTCTAGGACAACGCCAAAAGCCACCAAGACTCTCTCACACATGTCTGAGGGAAGTACCGAATGGTCCAAGCACTCTTGAAAACGGGTCTGGTAGTGTCATACAAATTTCACTATATGCTGAACTGTATGATCCAACAATGCCACTCCCACGGTTTTATCCAAAATCAATGAAAATACACATCCGCAAGAAGACCCGTGCCAGAACGTTCTTAACAGCTTTATTCACAGTAGCCCCAAATGGCACACCTCAAATGTCTATCTATCACCAGAAGGATGGGTAACAAACTATAGTATATTCAGACGACAGAATACTACTCAGCGAAAATAAAAAAGGATGAATTGCTAAAACACACCAGAACTTGGTAAATCTCAAAATCATTACGCTGACTAAAAAACGTCTCAAACAAAAGAGTACGATCCCAATTACATTAAATTCTAAAGCAGGCAAAACTAATCTATGGCGGTAGAAATCAAAATAGGGTCTGTCTTGGAGAGGTGGGGGTGGGGACGGGAATTGACTGGGGAGAACATGAGAACTTTGTAGAGGAATAAAAACGTATGTATCGATAGTATAAGTTCTCTGGGTTTATTCAGCTGTTTGAAATTCTCAAACCCTACACTTGAAATCTGTTCATTTCTGTGGGTAAATTCCCTTCAATGAAAAAAAAAAAAAAATCACCGATATAGAGGAAAAAATAGCCACAACGTCCAAAATCAACAACTTGTGGGGAGCCTGGGTAGCTCATTCGGTTAAGCATCCGATTTCAGCTCAGGTCATGATCTCGTGGGTTCGTGAGTTCGAGTCCCACCTTGGGCTCTGCGCTGACAGCTCAGGGCCTGGAGCCTGCTTTGGATTCTGTGTCTCCCTCTCTCTGTGCCCCTCCCCTGCTCGCACTCTGTCTCTCTCTCTCTCTCAAAAATAAACAAACATTAAAAAAAAATCAACAACTTGTAATATAAGGTGAGTTCACAGCCTACACAAAATAACTTACTTTATAACACCTAGAAAGAGTGAAACGTAAATACTGGATTCCATGTTGTGTACTGGGCCTAATATTCAGTTGATAATCAGTGTGGAAGTAATTATTCCTAGTGTCTCGTGGTCATTTCGTTGACCACCACACTGCTATGGTTTAGCCAGCGTTTCTAAGTAAATCCCCTGAATGGATGTACACCTTGTGCCTAAAGAGCGTAGCTGTCCGAAGCGTCCTCCGAAGCTTGGGGTTCTTAGAACAGAAAGGATCTAAGATCCTCTAAATCTGATATCTAAAGAGCCTGAGGCCCACAAAGGTCATGACTGCCCTTGGTCACAGAGCTGCTGAGAAGTACCGCCTCCAAAAACCCACGTCAGGGCCTTTCCCATCACATCAACTTAGCGTAAACACGAACAGCTTTCTGGCGAGCTCCAAGGTGTAGAGAAGCGGCAAAGAAGAAATGTCCTCCCAGTGGGCCGCCAGCACTGCGGAATCCACACGCGGAAGGAAACTGCCGCCCTGCAGCACTTCAAGGGCGTCCAATCTCAGGGTCAGCCAGTCAAGGCCACCCCTCTGGCCCTCCCAGAGCCGTGGCAGACAGTGCAACGTTCCTACTGACGGCATTTACTCATCACTGGCCAAACTCCACCTTCATCCCACAGCTGAGCGTTGGGTTCTGAGAGCACCTCGTGTGCTCTGAGGAATCCCAATTTCAGCGCCTCTGTCTGCTTAAAGATGCACGTATGTGTGCAGCTGCAGGTGTGAGCATACATCGGTCTATTCAGGGCCAAGGCTGTACGTGCATGTATTTCAAGAGCTGTGGAAGGTATGCAAGCGTGTTTCTCAGTACAGCTCAGATGTTTATTTAAATCAGGCGGGCTGCCAGATAGTCAGGACCCAGAGACAAGAACCCACACGGTGTCTTTTTTTTTTTTTTTTTTTTAACGTTTATTATTTTTGGGACAGAGAGAGACAGAGCATGAATGGGGGAGGGGCAGAGAGAGAGGGAGACACAGAATCGGAAACAGGCTCCAGGCTCCGAGCCATCAGCCCAGAGCCTGACGCGGGGCTCGAACTCACGGAGCGCGAGATCGTGACCTGGCTGAAGTCGGACGCTTAACCGACTGCGCCACCCAGGCGCCCCCCACACGGTGTCTTTTAATACACTGCCAATATTTTAAAACTGGGTGACTTCACATAAAATCCTGATTTCCAGCTCTTCTTAAGTACCAGTACACCCAGAAACACAGAATTCCTGCACCCCTGAGCAGTAAGACGTGTCCAGAGCTGGGGAGCTGCTGCTCCTTTGACAGAGGAAATGCGTTCTCTAGTTTGCCACAGACCCCAATGCTCTACGCCTCTGTCCGGACGCTGAGGTGCCCCACAGTTTGCTGCTCAGCCCCCAGCCTGCCTGATATGTGTGTGTCCCTTCTCTGTGACTGAGGGCCTATTTCATTCTTCCACGTTTTCCTACCGGGCATCTAAGTGTCCAGCCCCCGATTTATTTCATATATCTCTTAGCGGTCAGTCTGGGCTCTCTGAACCTCTTCTTCTCCATGCCACTCAGGGCTGCTAGAGAGGACATTTCCTTCCCTCCCGTACTGTTCCACTTTGGAACGAGTCTCTGGAGACGACAGCCTGTAACTTTCCCTTTCTCTGCCCTGTCATCAGCCCGGCTGGCTTCTTTTCAACACCATAGTCAAAGCAGGCCAACCAATCGCATTTCAGAACAATCCCCAAGGCAGCCAATGGCAGGACAGGCTGTCCTTAGACCAACAAGAAACCACGAGACATAGATAAACTAATTATCATGCTAGAAAAATAAAGATAAAAACCCAAGAGAACCTACTGCAACAAGACTTAGGAAAACATTTACTGAAAAGAGTCTTGATCCAGTGGCAGTGTGCTTACAGACTGCCTTTGATCCTTACCTGAACTTCCTCTGTCCGAGTGGAATCGTTTGCCAACAGGGGCTCTCCAGTGGGAGCTTGAATGGTGACAGATTTTTCTGACCCTCTGCCATCTTTATTCCGGGGTGATTTGTGTCTCTCTCTATTTCTCTCCCTGAAAAAAACAAAAATGACTGATCATCAGCTAGCACGTTTATACCACGTGAATCACTTCTCATCAAAATACATTGCAGATTTGATTTTGAGCTTAGAAAAATTCTACACACACACATATACACACGCACGCAGCCAATACCCACCCACGCCACCCGCCTACAAGGAATAAGCTCATTTTTACTCCCAACTTAGTATTTTCCTCCTGCCATCCGAAGACCCAAAACAGAGACTCACTCCACCCTCAACAGTGGAATTGAAAATACACCTTTTCAAAGCCTCACACTGTGAATTTTAGAATTTCTGTAGCTGACTTGATTTGTTTACAATCTGCCTAAATTCATTTTCTAGGACTTTCTTGTGGGGGCAATACTGCAAAATGTTTACGCTTTGGTCTGTCCAAAAAAATCTGGGACACACTGTCACCCTACACCTTTGCATAAGACAAGAAGAAAGGAAATTCTAAACCAGCACAGAGAAGCATTTACTTCTCATTCCTAGAAATTCAAACTGAAAGTCATTCCCATAGGCTCTGGCTGAGTCCGAAGGACCCAGAGGAACACAAAAATCTAGTACAAATGACACCAAGGGGTGCAACTGTCTATGTGTGTGTATGTTCAGGCTGCTGCCTCATTTTACCCCAGATGCACTTCCTGGGTGGTCTTCCAGGGCAACCGTGAGAGCACCCTGCCTCGGGTCAATGTTGAAATTACAACAGGGATCAACTACTGTGTGAAGCTGAGTGTGGTCACAACCTAGCCATTAACCACCTACAGAAACTGGGACTCCCACCCCCGTCTGTGAACACTCAGTTCAGGAGCCCCCCCCAAAGGAGCCCCTCGGTGGCCAAGAGTAAGCTCCCTCAACCTCCGGTCTTATACGGCCTCCTTGACATCAGTCCTCCCTCAAACACTTGCCCTCATTCCCAAGGCCCCCCAGACAGGACAGAGCACTGCACACATAGACTCTGGGGACATCAGTCAGATCTCAGGTCTGCCCCTATTCGATTTGCACAAATTATTTAACTTCTGAAAACCTCAGTTTCCTCATCTGTTAACATGGGGATAATGATCATACCCCACAGATAACGTGTGCAGATTTCAGTTACAGGGGCCTCAAAGAAGGAGATATAAAAGGAGCTATTAATACACAATCCAACTCCTTCTCCACAGTGTCCTGTTAACCTATCATTTACCAAACAAAATCACATGCAGACTTCCTGGGGGCAAACTCCTACCTTATCAGTACCTCCCTAGGATAATCATTGGTTATTTCCTTCAAAGAGCAGGGAGGCTTTCTTGGTCCCAGAAGTTCTCAGTGACAGCATCTCCAACTGCTAGAGCATAACTTATCATCCCAATCTATTGCTAAATTAGAGTCTAGAAATACACGTGCTCTGGTCAACTTGGGTGTTTTATTTTAACCAGGTAACGAGGACAACAGCAGAGAATCTGTCTGTTTACCCAGAGATGCATCCATCAGTGCCAATCATTCCACTCCCACTTCGATTTAGAGAGCACCTCACGGTGTGCTTCAATTCATTAACTTCATTCAATCCTAACCGTGACTGTCTGAGGCTGGTGGCCTTGTCCCTGTTTTACAGATGAGGAAACTGAGGGTCATGGAGCTTAACTGACTTCCCAAAGTCGTAGTGAGCGGCAGAGCAGGATGTGAACCCAGGTCTGCTCCCACCACCGCGTCTCATACCCGCTACGCTGCGCTGATCTGCAGATCTGGTGGCACGAACATTCCTAATGCTCATCCTGACACCCTCTGTTGGATGAACTACCGGAGCCATGAAATCTGCCTGTGGAGCTACTTCTGGTGGCCACAAAGGCACTGTGAACTTGGACAGCATGAAGCGATGGGTCCCACGCTCTGGGCTGCCGAAGACACTCACTTCAAAAGGACCCAGTGGTGTGCGAAACAAAAAACAAGTTGGGAGAGCCTTCCCACGCGTCTGCGCAGTCTTCAGGATGAAGAGTGTGGACGAAGCCTAGAACCCCCGCTCCCCAGGGCCTCCATCGGCCAGACCCAGGAGCCTCCCCTTCCACCCTGTGTTTCCACCATCCCCAACCGCTTTCCCATCCATCACTCTTTCTGCCGTCAGCCAAGTCACATGCTCCCCCAACCCATCTATCTATTCACTAGTCCCAGGGGTCAAATCCTGTGACAGCACAAATTCCACTGGAAATCAAAATTCTTTCATTGAGTGCCAAGTGCTGAGCCTGAACGTTGCCAAGGCAGAAAGCAAGTGGGGAGGCACCCAGGGATGGAAACAGCCTCTCTAGGGCCAGCCATCAACCTGACCACCTCCACCCCCGCGGCTCTTAAAGGGCCCCGCAGCACCCAAAGGAGAAGTGACAGCCTAACCATTCCCCTGGCGACATCTGAGGTGAACCAGACAGGAGCCTACTATCTGATAACCCCGGGAAGGTTTCTCATCCCCCAGAGCCAGATACCCTAAACCAGTGCTTCCCACACCTGCACCAGGATGGGATTTAGGTACATTCGCTGGCCCCACCCCTAGGGAATTCTGGCAGGCAGACAATGGGAATCTGCATTTGTCACCAGCACCCCCGGTGATTAAGATGCGGGGGGTCCAGGGAAACTTGCCCCAAGGTGCTTCCCCCCAAATGCTCTGAGGAGGAGGGTTGTTGGGGGTGACTGCCTGGCAGCCTGGCTGTTTGTGACATGCCTGTATACAACAGGGGCTCAATAATGGGAGCCGTGAGTGTAACGCCTGGCTGCGCGATGTTGCGGCATAGCGTGGCTTCTTTATTAAAACAGCGTTAAGCGGATGAGGCTGGGGACGAGGCTCAGGCCAGCGTGCGTTGCGTCAGGACACAGCATCAGCAGTGGGGTCGGTCAACACTGGGCCGGTGCCTGTGGTCACACGGCTTTTACAAAAATCACCGGTGGTGAGTTACCGCTCCGGGAAGGTGTCGGAGCCAGTCCTAAATGGAGAAGTCCAACAAAATTACTGCCGTTCGGTGTTGTCCAGGGTGCAGAGCTTCGAGCTGCAGGATGGCCGCCTCACTACAGTGGGTGCTCACATGTCCATCTCTACGGCTCCAAATGCCGTGTCGAGTGCACTCCGGGAGAGGGCTCCCCGCTGTTTGCGGGATCTAAGAGTGGAAACAGGAGACTGAAGCAGGGGGCTGGGTAAGGCCACCACGCCACAAGAGGGCTGTGACAAAGGCATGCACGCCAGGGAGGGTCTCCGGCTCCGCCTCAGTGGTGTGGATCACCGGTGTGCCGGGCAGCTGTGTCAGCCACAGGAACCGGTGTCTTCACCTGTGAGTCGGTCTCTATGCAGCATCTGCCCATCAGAGTCCAGATCAGTGTAACTGTCCCGTGTGCGTGCGGGCGAGAGGGTGGAGAAGCCAGCGACGGCACGCAGGAGGCCCCAGCACGTGTCTGTACCTGCGTGTGTGTATGTGTGTGCAAACGCATCTACCCAGGTGGCTCTAGAGCTGAGCCCTTGGGGGCTGCTGTAAAATGCCCTTGCTCTAGCCAGAACCCCCATCGATTCCTGTTCCGTTCCCACCACAGTCGGCATTTCCTGGGAAGACTATTCAGCTCTGTGTCTGTTGTTGGTCTATTTCTATTTGGGGAAAGCCGGCCCCACCAGTCACTCCTCCCTTTCCTTCTCTACCACCACCCACTACCTGTCCTTTCTCTGCTGACTGTGGGGCTGGCTGGCCGCTTCCGGTCGGCATGGAGTCGGGTGGGAGGGCTGGGCACCTGGCAAACCGACTCTGGGGCGGCCTGGGAACAAAAGCACCAGTTCCCTCACCGCTCAGGCAGCCCTCTTTTGAACAATGCATTTCAGCACATGAGGGTCCTAGCCTGAGGGTCCTAGCAGGTACCTGCTAAGGGTTCATTAGCATCACTGTTATAGCTGTAGCATGTAACTCCAGGAACGCAAAAGGTAAGGCAAGGTCGGCTGAAGTCCGCACCATTTTCCCAGCAAGTTAACTGGACACCCTCTGGAGACAGCAGACATCACAAAACCAGACCACTGACCTCTTTGTTAAAAAGGAGTCACTTGTCATCTGTTTGGAACCCAGCCAGTCCCCCAAAGATGATCGCCGAGTCACTGGGCATATCAAGTTTGGTACACTTCATTATGCCTGAGTTAGGGGCCTACTAAAATTACCAAAAACCAAGGTCCCTCCCCTTTCCTACTTTTCATTCAAATTTCTGACAAATCCCTGAGCAGAGCAGCCTTCACGGGGACACTCCTGGGGGACACAATACCCTTGGCTGGGTCTAGGGCCTGCTTATGTGCCAGTGAGGGGTATTATTACCACTTAATATTCTTTACGCCCAGACAAAGAACTCCCTGGCATCCACCATCCACAGACTACAGGCTCGGTCCCATCGTCAATTACTACACCCTCCAGGGCTCTCAGAGAACTCACCGCATGTGGGTGCTGTTTTTCCCCATCCCTTCACCCAGAGCTTTTCTAAATAGGTATTCAGGAACATTCCTTGATTGCTTTATTGAAAGTCTCAGCTTGTGCTATCATTTGCCAAGGACTTTCCGCATGGGTCCGAAAAGGCACTAAGAATTCCGCAGGCTGTTTTAATTGGAAGTTATTGTCTCTTAAAGTCACCACGAGAGCACTGCTGTATCAATTTGTGGGGGGCCCCTGAGAGGCCGGAGGAAACAGCAGAGCACAGCCTGGGGCCTTGAAGTGTGACAGTTGGGACAAACATACAGGCAGGGGAGGCCAGAGATGGTTCCTACTCAGAACACGTCTTCCCCGATTCATCTCCAAGCACCAACAGAACCCCAAATTCCTACTTCTGTCACCACCATGTGGAAAAGGGAAGCTTGACACACTGACAAGGGAATGGCTTTCTCCAGTTAGAGCCAAAGATCTGATGTTTCCAAACAGCTGTTTCTGGTGTTTTAGAACTCGTCTGGTACATGTACCCAGCGGTTGAAACTTGTGATGAATCTCTGATCACCAGAGTGTTTCTGACTTTCTCGGGATCTGGGCTCATCTATGGTACTTGAAGCCTCACTCAGCAGGCTTCTGTTGCATATGCTGCCAGAAAGGCTTACCCAGGGTCTGGGCAAGCTCATTCACATCCCTGCCCCACATTTTTAGGATTAAAAGACCAACACATGAACATTTAGAAAATAATGGAGGTTTCAAAAACAACAACAACAACAATCAAAATCTTAATAACCCTATACTCAGAAACAGGACAAGCATCGTCAATGTTACCATTCATTTTCTCATAAGAATATGTAACTATTGTAACGTGCAAAGTTTTGACTCCTGTTTTTTTATAACACAGATTCATAAACATTGTCTCGGGTCATTAAACAATCTTTGGAGATTTTTGTTTTATATTCTTTCATTCTGTTCATATTCTTAATTACGAAACACACCCTTAGGGAAGATTGAATGGGTACAGAAAGATAAAGCGTAAACAAAACTGCCATCAGTCACCATCTCGTGTCTGGACCCTTTCCTGTGGGTGACCGCTGCGGGCAGCTTGGAGAATATCCTCCCAGACCTCCCGCTGCCTGTGTAAATCCAAATGGGCTCACAAACGAGTAAGTCAATTAGACAGACACATCTTACTGCCGTTTTACAAAACAAAATCCCACTCTGCATTCAGCTGCTTGTATGAGGAACTGCTTGGTCAGGGAAACACCACCTCCACTACCGTTCCCAGCCCACACTGGGCTGTGACCACAGCTGGACCTCTGAGCTGTGGCCAGTTGGAACCTTTGAATGTAATGCTGACATGCCAAGGCCATTAACAGCATTGATACGGCCACGGGATAGTGACCTCCCACCTTGTGCTGTGTTAAACGCTTTACAAGCACAATCTAATTTAATCCTCTCACTAGCCCTGTAAGTAGGGTACTGCTATACCCATTTCACAGGTGAGGAGTCTAAGTAAGAGGCAGCATATAGCACTACAACTTTACCATCTGTATTCTTAACCAGTTACAGTAGCACCCCTCCCTCCCTCCCTCCCTCCCTCCCTCCCTCCCTTCCTTCCTTCCTTCCCTTGTTCCTTTCCTCACCAAACATTCTGCAGGTCTGGAATACCGCAGGCTCTAGGAACACCAGTGCAGACCTGTGCACTTTGCACAGAGGAAGGCTACAGGGCCCCATCACCTCGGATGGCGTTTTTTTCATAACCTGGGCCTGTTCACTGGGAAAACTAGTCAGAGAGAGATATGGCACCAGGCCAATCCCACCACCTCGTGCATTAACCTCACAGCAAATGCCTAGTGGACAATGAGTCAGCAGCTTTGGGTAAAAAGCAACAAATTAACACTTTTTTTTTTTTTTAAACTTTCATTTACATTCTCGGTAAAGCTTTGGGAGAACTGTCATCTATGAGAAGCACTTAGAAATGGAAAACATTTCCACTGCAGGGAGAAACTTTAATTTAAAATCAGTTGTGAACACTTAAGGTCGTCAACCGTAATGGCAGCTGTAAAATATACATTGGTGGTATAGTTGCTCCCAATGCGAGTTAAATGCCCTTAACGTCCAGCAGCTTCTCACGCACCGTGGGCTGAACTTCCAGCCATCAGCAGCCCTGCAACCTGGCTTTGCCATTTGAAAAGTGAGTCTTGAAATCTGGACCCACCTGCCAGTGTCCCCAGAAGGAAATGTGGAACAACCCAGAGCTTACATACCCTTGTCTGTGAGATTTTTTCGAATGACTTGAATAGTAAGAATATCCAGAGTATGTGGATTCGGTATCCATAGCAATGGGGAGCTTGCTCTTGATGAAGGAGCGGGCAGTGTTTCTCCTCAGAGGTAGGGAATTTCACCTACTCGCCTCCTAAGACTGCAAAGGGTCTGGAGATCCAGGAGCCGCTCTTCGACAGGAACAAATTCTAGGAAAAGTGGAGAGAAAAAAAGAGATTTACCGTCAAAGGCAACCCAAAGATCTTGGAAGATAAATGACGGCAACCACCGCCTCTGGGGTCTCTGTTACGGAACAGAGTGAGCAAGGAAGAAGTGTCTGAGTGTTAAATGCACCGCCCAGGCAGCAATGAGCTTCCCCGGGTGTCTGGGAGGCAGGTGCGGGGCAAACCCCTTCCACAGCAGCAGGCAAACCAGAGCTGGGAGAGACCTGGCCCTTGGCCATTTCCTGGCCACAGCCTCGCTGCATGGGTTCAGGCTGGAGGAAGTGACTTCCCATCCCACAGCCTAGACAGTGCCCAGCCCCCACTGCCAGTTTGCCGGTCCCAAGAACAATACACAGGGAAGCAGCTTTTAAGGGATGTTGCTTGCAGTTGCTGAAAACCAATGAAAAAAAAAAAAGAAGGAAAGAAAAGAGAGAAAAAGTTTTTTGTCTCTTTAATCCAGGAATCCAAACACCTGAGAATTTATCCTAGGGAAAGAATTTTTTTTTTTTTTAAAGAAAAACTACTACCGCATTGTCTATAACAGTGGAAAGTGAGAAATCATCTAAATGCCCCCAAAGCAGAGGAATAGGTAAGGAAAACATGATTCATCCACCCAAAGAAAAATCATAGAGCTGTTTAAAATAATTACGAAGTATGGAAAGTTTTACAATATAATGGTAAATTTAAAAGGCAGACTACAGGGGCACCTGGGTGGTTCAGCTGGTTAATCGTCCAACTTCAGCTCAGGTTACGATCTCACGGTTCGTGGGTTCGAGCCCCGTGTCGGGCTCTGTGCAGACAGCTCAGAGCTTGGAGCCTGCTTCGGATTCTGTGTCTCCCTCTCTCTCTGCCCCTCCCTTGCTCGCGCTCTCTCTCCCTCTCTCTCAAAAATAAATAGATGTAAAAAATTTTTTTAAGTAAAAAATAAATAAATAAAAGACACACTACAGGATTATAAATACATCCTGAATCTGGGTTACAGTTACAATCATATAAAAGGCTTATGTAAACATGATTAAGAGGGAACATCAGAAAATGGAAGTAGGTGATTTATTTGTTGCCGGCTCCTGGGTGTTTCCCCAAATTCATTAGATATTGCATTGCAATAGAAATAAATGGGAAACATTTCCAAGTACATTCCTGAGCCCCACATGCTCAACCTTGACTTCTAGAAGCCCGAGAACCACAAGTCTGTCTGCCCCTGTATCCCTCACCCCAGAGCTGGTCTCCGCCCATTCAGGGCCCCTCCTTCCAGTGCAAACAAAGCCAGTGAGATAAGTGTGGAGAGAAAACAAAGGAGCTGCAAATGCCAATGCCCTCCCCGCCCCCCACAATGACCCTGCCAACAACCTGTAAACCTAGAGGCCCTCAGCCTCAAACACCGCTTAGGATGCGTCTGCCCTCAGCATTCGCTCTAAGTGAGGCATGTTCACTTCCAGGGGCTGTGACCCTGGGCGAACCTCCCTGGGCCTGGGTGTCCAGACTCATCATTTCTCCTCTGCCATCAAGAGCCCAAGGCGAGCAGTGGGGGGACATGGGTTCTAGCCAGACCTCTTCACTGTCCAGGACGACCTGGGAGGGGCCGCTTGCCTTGAAGTCGGCCTCAGTTTCCTCATCTGTCAAACTGGGATAAATCAGCCAGCCACTGTTCTCCCAGGGGTGATCTGAAAATGGCAACAGATACGGTATCGGGAGCTGGGTTCCAATCCCAGGCTTTATTGGTTATCCCCTTATTGGTTATGAAACCTCAAATTACTAAACCTCTCAGTACCAGGAGCTAATTAGCTAATTCTGGCTAAATGCTGCTGGCCTGTCTCAGAGGCAGGTGACCCAGGCCCTGAGACCTGGGCTGGTCCTGTTCATGCTTCCCAGTCATGACATCTCTGAGCCACTATTCACCCACCGCCCATAAAATGAGGCCACTTCACATGAGCTCCTCCTAAGGTTGGTGAGAACATTAAACCAGGCTCCCTGCGGAAGGCACATGGCAACCCAGGCTTCATTTCCCTCTTCCCTCCGCACAAGGATGTCATTCCAAGTCCTCATTAAAACCTCCGGCCATCTATTAGGACAACTCCAGGCACGTCCCTCAAAGGAAATCCTGGGCTCCCGAGTGACCTCTGGGGAAGGGCTTTACCTGACTCTACCGGCACCCACGTCCACGTTCTCCCACAAGTCCTGCCTGTACTCTTCAAAGGGGTGGTCTGTATCTGCTGCCACTCCCTCCCTCTCGACTGTCACCCCAATCCTCCTCCCTCGACACTCCACTGAACTAGCTCTAAGTGGGCCAAACCCAAAGGTCACAGCCTCGTCCTCCTTTCCCTAGACCTTCTGACCCCATTTCTGCATTCATCTACCTCTGCATTTAGCAAGCAGCCACAGGAGACCCCGGTAAGCGCTGCTGGGACACAGCAGAGACAACAGCACACGCACACGGCCCCCGGCCTGTCGTCCCAGAGCTCTCTGTTGCCCGTCAGCCTCTGACTTGATGGTACTGGTGCTACCATTTCTCCAACGCGCCTTCCCTCTCCCCCCATCGGGTTATCCCTTCAGTCTCAACACTCGCCCTTTCTTCTTCTTTGTCCACGGATTTATTCTCGCATAAGCTCCTTGGAGTTAGGAGCTATGATTTGCCTACACCAAGATACTCTGAACATGGTAGGTACCCAACAAATACTGAAAGAATCCCCAGGGCACATCTACTCGGCTACCTCTTTCCAATTTCCTCTGCCGGGGGGGGGGGGGGTACAGTCCAGCCCGGTGCCACTTCTGACAGTCTCTTTCCTGTGACTCGCACACATCCTGCTGTCACTAAGTGCTGACGTCAGTCCTCAGGAGCCTCCGTCACTCTCCTGGTGCTCAGCCACCCACTTCCCCCAGGCTCTGTGGACAGAGGGCTCGTGTATTACGAAGCCTGCAGGTCTCCCCACAGAATCCAGTCTACACAGAGCTCGGGCCCTTTCTCCTAAATCATGCTGTCTCTATTTCAGTGATCTACTCTTGTCCAAGATCTGAGTAAGGATTAAGCACAAGCAGCAGCAGGCAAACGGACAAAATCCCGGGTGGACTCATTTTAAGGGCCAACGAAAGAGCTTCGATACAGCCCACAGGAACACCCATGGTGAAGCTTATCACTGCAATGCTATCTTTCGGAGACAGTTCGCCTCTATGCACAAGAAAGTAGCAGGATTCAAATAAGGTCAGAGGGATGCCTTATCAGGAAAATAATAAAGTAATGAAAAGGAATCAGGTTCCTGGGGTAATAAACTGATAGGCTGCTACACTGGCCTGAATAGGACAGTCATATAAACGTGTAAACATAGGGGTGTCTGGGTGGCTCAGTCAGTTAAGCATCAGACTCTTGGTTTCAGCACAGGTCATGATCTCACAGTTCATGGGATCGAGCCCTGCATCAGGCTCCATGCTGACAGTGCAGAGCCTGCTTCGGATCCTCTGTCTCCCCCTCTCTCTCTGCCCCCCCTTCACTTGCACATCTGTGCACGCGTCTATGCGCGC